GATGATGGCTATTCTAACAGGGGTGAGGTGGAATCTTAGTGTGGTTTTAATTTGCATTTCCTTTATTGCTAGAGATGGTGAGCATTTTTTCATGAGTTTTTTGGCCATTTGAATTTCTTCTTTTGAGAAAGTTCTGTTTAGTTCACGTGCCCATTTCTTTATTGCTTCATTAGTTTTGGGAGAATTTAGTTTTTTAAGTTCCCTATATATTCTGGTTATCAGTCCTTTGTCTGAGGTATAGTTGGCAAATATTTTCTCCCACTCTGTGGGTGTTCTCTTCAGTTTAGAGACCATTTCTTTTGATGAACAGAAGCTTTTTAGTTTTCTGAGGTCCCATTTATCTATGGTATCTCTTAGTTGCTGTGTTGCTGGGGTTTCATTGAGAAAGTTCTTACCTATACCTCCTAATTCCAGAGTATTTCCTACTCTTTCCTGTATCAACTTAAGAGTTTGGGGTCTGATATTAAGATCCTTGATCCATTTTGAGTTAATCTCAGTATAGGGTGATATACGTGGATCTAGTTTCAGTTTTTTGCAGACTGCTAACCAGTTTTCCCAGCAGTTTTTGTTGAAGAGGCTGCTATTTCTCTATCATGTATTTTTAGCTCCTTTGTCAAAGACAAGTTGGTTATAGTTGTGTGGCTTCATATCTGGGTCCTCTATTCTGTTCCACTGGTCTTCATGTCTGTTTTTGTGCCCATACCATGCTGTTTTTATTGTTATTGCTTTGTAATATAGTCCACGAAATAGAAAGCGAAGGAAAACTGCCAAACACATCTTATGAAGCCAGTATTACACTTATCCCAAAACCAGGCAAAGACACCTCCAAAAAGGAGAACTATAGGCCAATTTCCTTAATGAACATTGATGCAAAAATCCTCAACAAAATAATGGCAAACCGAATTCAGCAACACATCAAAAAGATTATTCACCATGACCAAGTAGGCTTCATCCCAGGGATGCAGGGGTGGTTCAACATACGAAAATCAATAAACGTAATAAACCACATTAACAGAAGCAAAGACAAAAACCACTTGATCATCTCAATAGATGTAGAAAAAGCCTTTGATAAGATCCAACATCATTTCATGATAAAAGCTCTAAGAAAACTAGGAATAGAAGGAAAGTTCCTCAACATTATAAAATCTACATATGACAAACCTACAGCCAGCATTATACTTAACAGAGAAAAACTGAAACCATTCCCTCTAAAATCAGGAACCAGACAAGGATGCCCACTATCTCCACTCCTATTCAACATAGTACTGGAATTCCTAGCCAGAGCAATTAGGCAAGAAGAAGGAATAAAAGGAATACAAATAGGTAAAGAAACTGTCAAAATATCCCTATTTGCAGATGACATGATCCTATACCTTAATGACCCAAAAAACTCTACTCAGAAGCTTCTAGACATCATCAATAGCTATAGTAAGGTAGCAGGATATAAAATCAACATAGAAAAAATCATTAGCATTTCGATACACTAACAATGAGCAAACAGAAAAAGAATGTATGAAAACAATTCCATTTACAATAGCCTCCAAAAAAATCAAATACCTAGGTGTAAACCTAACAAAAGATGTGAAAGACCTCTACAAGGAAAACTGTAAACTTCTGAAGAAAGAGATTGAGGAAGACTATAGAAAGTGGAGAGATCTCCCATGCTCATGGATTGGCAGAATCAACATAGTAAAAATGTCGATACTCCCCAAAGTAATCTACATGTTTAATGCAATTCCCATCAAAATTCCAATGACATTCATTAAAGAGATTGAAAAATCTACTGTTAAATTTATATGGAAACACAAGAGGCCACGTATAGCCAAGGCAATACTCAGTCAAAAGAACAATGCAGGAGGTATCACAATACCTGACTTCAAACTATATTACAAAGTGTTTGAGTTTTAAGCAGTTCATGATCCAAATAATTATTCCTATTTAAAAGTTTGCTTAGAAAGTTGTTTCTTTTATGAAATAGCCCACTCAACAAAAGTCAACAACCACATTTCTTTCTTTTTATTGATTTATTCCTAGACAATATTAAAGATAATGAGGCTGTGTTTCCAGAATTTCAGAAAACTATCATCAGTGATATGACTAGATGTGAAAATAAATTTTAACTGTGATAAATGGTCAGTATTAGCTTTGCCACACCCCTTAGCATTCAAGGATAAACAAGGTTCAAATTAGTTAAATTTAGAATGGTTAGATGTTTTTACCTATGTGTTTGGTAGCCGAGGTGAAAAGATGGAAAAGAAGTACTTCAATATACCACTGATAAAAGACTCGATTATTAAATCTTTAACAGAAAGAAAATTAGCAATCTGCATTAAAGCTTTAAAAATGTGCATAGTCTTTGAATCAGCAATTCTATTCCTTGGAATTCATCCTATGGAAGTAATTAAGGACATGAATGAAGATTTAACTATCAGAGTATTTGATACAATATCCTTTATAGTAGTGAAAAAGTTAGAAACAACTTTAATGACAAATGATCATGGATTATTGCTTAGTCTTGTTATTATTTTGCATTTATGTATAAAATATAAATAGTTATTTTATGTCACAGTTAAATATTCATCTGTACAAAATGTATTTTTCACATGAAAATGTTCATATTTTTCATATATAATTGTATATGTGTGTATAAGACTGTGTCCTCATTAAAGTCTTATACACACAACACTTTTTTATTGCATACATACCAGGGTTTCACCACATTTCCCTTTGAAATAAGAGTGAAATATATTTAGAAAGTTTCATTGTTCCTTTCTGCTTATAGCATTGCATAGTTTTACTTCAGTGTGTATATACTACCTTAGAATTAACATAAAACTGTCTCAACAAGAAGAAAAAAATGCTACCCTCCAATGTTTCCTGGCAATGTTTTTACTACCTATAATTTTGCTGTTATTTTAAGGTTATGATTTTTAAGGCTGAAGAAATAAACTGGTGATGGACCAAAATTGTTAAACTGAGCTTCTCTATGTATCTAGAAAGTTTGCTATGATGAAGATAAAGAATTATCTCAGCACATATATCAAGTTGTATACCTTAAAGATGTACACTTTTTATCTGTCAATTACAGCTCAGCAAAGCTGAAATAAAAGAATTAATATTTAGCAATAATCATATCAAAAAAGTGACATCAAAGGAAAAATTTCTAAGTAGAGTCTGAGTTAAAGTGGGAATCATATTTCTTCCATCTGAAGTAAAATCATTATAAATATAAAACTTAAAGACTTCTCTTTTTATGGGCATTCAATTTCATAGTCTGAGAAAAACTCACTTGTGGTCATCTTTATTTTCTGTTTCTGAGAAAGAGATAATTATTTGAAAACATGTTTACTTCATTCATCTTAAATAACAAAATCATGTGAGCATACTTTTATTACAAAAGTAACATATATTCCCAATAGAAATCTTGGAAAATCACCTCAAATTCTTTCACTCAAATATAAACACTGATAGTATGTTGGTGTCTATCCATAAAGTTGATAACCACTTCTTATATTTAAAAACAGGAAGTTAGTATTTAGTGATTTAAATCCTCTGAAAAGTCAGGAAACTACATTTTTGCTTTCTTATTTGTGACAACTGGATATAATTTTTTTCCACATTTACCAATTTATTATAAAGAGTATTACAAAGGATACAGATGAAGAAACGCATCAGGCAGATAAAGGAGAAAGTAGTACAGAGCTTCCATGGCCTTTCTGAGTGCGCCATCCTCCCATAACATCCATGTGGTCAGCTGTCTGGACTATCCAGATTCGGTCCTTTGGATTTTTATGGAGACTTCATTGCATACACATGGACAACATGGAGAAGTTGATTGGACATAGTCTGATCTAATGCCTGATGGATGAGTGGGGAACTCACCCAGGCCTTTCTACTCAGATGCCCGAGCCTCTCTATGTGACCTGCCTTCCTCAGGACTTCCGAAATGGGGGTCCCCTGACATGCTATCAAATACGGCAAGTTAGAGAATATCTTTATGACAGCTACAAAATAAAACAAAAAGGCAGGGGAAGAGTATAGTTTTAGTTTCTATTAACTGCCTTGAGGAGTTCCTAATATGTCTTCAAATGTACAAATGTCTTTTATTTCCCTTCTTATCTCCAACTCTTCTATTTTTTTCATGTTTATATAATGAAGGACATCTACTTTACCACAAAACAAATACAAGTTTCCTTAACTTAAAGATGTGAATAAAAGATTAAATCTGTTTTACAAGTTTTTGTGTCTAACCTAAATGTGCAGAAATGCAGATTATCTCCTTATGTCTAAGGAAGTTGTTAGTATCACAGAACTTTCAAGAATCCAAGTACAAAAGGTGCTACAGCTTAGAACCAAATAATCTTTGCGGTCAAGCACAATTTAATTTTTCCACTTTGAGTTCTTACTGGTAAAACACCTGCTTTTTAGATTTGTACATACCAATTACTCCCTTATATTTATATACTCTTATGCTTTGTCTTTATAAAATGGGTACCATAGCTGGACACAATTGTCAGTGCATATAATTCTAGCTACTCAAGAGGCAGAGATTGGGAGGACTGTGGTTCAAGGCCAGCTCAGGCAAAAAGTTCCCAAGAACCCATCTCAACCAACAGCTAGGTATGGTGGTATGTTTCTGTAATTTCAATTACGTAGGAAGTGTAAATAGGAGAATGCTGGTCCAAGGAGCCGACACATAAACAAAATCCTATTTGAAAAGTGACTAAGCCAGACTCTTGGTGGTATGACTCAAGTGGTAGAGCACCTGACTAGCAAAGCACAAGGTCCTTTCTTCAAACCCATTTGGGGATAATTGTAATGATACAACATCAGCCTATCTAGACTATGGTTTATCCACATTAAAATGAAATGTGACTGCTGTCTTCTATCTTGGATGTTAACAGAAGATTTGCGGGGAGCAGGAATAATTAAAGCAACATGATACCAGTAGACCTTAAAAGAATACATTCATATTCCTGTTAACTCTCATTTTTCTCCAGGACAGATATCAGTAGACGGATTTATGCGTTATCTGAGCGGAGAAGAAAATGGAGTCGTTTCACCTGAGAAACTGGATTTGAATGAAGATATGTCTCAGCCCCTGTCTCACTATTTCATTAATTCCTCACACAACACCTACCTCACAGGTATGAATTCATAGTTCTTTGTTACTTTGGTGAGTCTCACTGAACTTCACCAACTTCTAGTTTTTGTTCTGAAGTAGAGGTGAAGTTTCTTCCATCTCCTGTGAAGTGTCTCTGAGAACAGTGGGTTCCACCAAAACTTCCAACCATAGGCGGTCATGGTTGGTCGTGTCCACGGTTGTGATCTATATCATCCCCTCTCCACACCCTGTAAGTTGCCAATAAGTTTTCAAGTCTTCTGAACTGTGTACATGTCTCATCCGTCAGACCAGCAGTATTTTTGTGTAACAGAACTAATTCTTCAGTGAATTTAAAGCCATTTCCAGGGCTGAGTGCTTGTCTAGCAGGAGTAAGGCATTGGGCTGCAAAATGTAAAAGCCACTGATTCTTCCTCCTACTTCCCTGGATATCACTGACCTATAAGAGGGCTCTGAGACTCTCAGTAATTTCTGCTGAAGACAATTGGTTTTTGTTCAAGGTGAAACAGGACTTTAGCCAAGAAAAGATCTTTGATGACAAATTTTGTAGTAAATACTATAATCAAGTAGGAAAAAGGAAGAATGTGTTTCTAATTTGATCCTAAATTGAACATTGCCATGTTTTTTTCATCAAAAAAAATATTAAGTCACACACATATATACATATATATATACATATACATTTACACACATTCATATATATACACATATTATCTCACTATAGTTTACAATTAAAAATTTAATAATCACATATTTTAATAATCTGATAACATTTTTAAAATTAAAATACATTCCTTCTAAAAATGCTTTCTATATAGATAGATCTCTAATCCCAAGTTTTAAAAAGTCTTTGTAGAAAATCAGTTTCTGGTTTAAAATTTAAAAAAAAACTTCATTTTTTTACTTCGCTCAGTCCTAAGACATATGAGGTAGCCAGAACTAACATAAGACAATGGAAGTCCAGGCTATTATTTGGTATCTATGTGATAAATGCACCTCACACCTTAGGGGTTGTTTTGAGATGCTCATGGCTCATTGTCTAGAGATGTGTGGTTTGTGCTTCAGGATAAACTAGCAATAAAACAGACATTAAAAAAAAAAGCACTGAATAACCATGAGGTATCCAAGAAAATTTCACTGGGTGCAGCCATGTGGCAACTAAGCGGTTCTTTCTTTAGAATTCTTTAGAGAGATTCATTTCTTTCAACTTCAAATTCATGCTGTGTTGGTATCAAGTCTAGCATTGACCAGGTATCCCACATTAGGTGAAAAGAGTCTTGGGAAAAGATAGGAATGTAGTTTCTAGACAGCCAGAATTTGCTATCTCAGGGTAATCCATATAATCAGACTCATGAAGTCTGAGTTCTGCAGTCAGTTGAACTGCAACTGGAATATTTTTTCATGAAAATTGCAAGGCTCTCAGGCCACATGTGGCCTGTTTTTGGTTTCAGCTTATCTTACCTACTACTAAGAAAGATCCATATCACTAAACTATGTGTGACTCATCCCAAATTCTAGTCTAGTCAGTTATTTCTACATAACAAATCACTCCAAAACTCAGTGCATAAAACAGACACTTTTATTTGGAACCATATTCTATGGGTCAGGAATTCTTACAGTGGAAAGAGGGGATATCACATCTCTGTTCCATGCTTCTATAGGCCTTATCTGGGAAGAAAATAGGGGGAGAATGGGTGACTCAGACAGCTTACATACAGGAATCATCTAGAGTCTTCTCCAACATGTAGGGGCATGTCAGCTAGAAAGACCCAACTTTAGGACTATGAACCTAATTTCCTACAAGCAGCCTCACCATGTAGCTTGGACTTCCTCACAACATGGCAGCCACAAGATAGGTGGACATCTTACATTGTAGCTCAGGGCTACAAGAACAAGTATCCTAGGGGACATGGAGGAAGTCCAATTGCCTTTTTGCCCTTAACTTCTGAAGCTCCAAAATGGCACTTCTTTCTTTAATTTGTCAAAAGAATCACAAGTCTACCCAGATTCAAAGAGGGGACATAAACCACCATTCTCAGTGGGAAAGTGTCAAAACATTTTAGTCCTTTTTAAAAAACTCTGCAGGTTCCATAAATTCAAGAAAGGACTGTCTACTTAGTCACTTTCCTTAGATGTGGTTCTTTAGGGCCTCTACAAATATTTTCAATTCCTACTCAAGTCCATAAGCCTTTTGTAAGAACTATTTTCCTTCTTATAGGTTCTTAAATCTTACTTGGTATTATTTTGCATTAGATAGATTTGAATCAAATTAAATAAATTCTCATAATATTATCTTGTTCTAGTACAAGTCAAACTTACTTTCCTGCATGGGGATTAAGGAGAAATCCATATAATTAGCAAAAAAAAAAAATAGAGAGAGAGAGAAAATAAATCCATGTAAAAATATTAATATAGGCTCTCAAGGTTTTGCCTGAAATATTCTTTTGACTATGTGTCAAACTTTGGTTTTACTTTATATGTTAGTAGTAATATCGTTGTTTTAATTGCAAACAACTAATACAGAATTCCTTCTCAGAGGCCTTTGGAGATGTTTGAACAATTCTATTATAAAAATATAAATCTCCCAAAACCAGTTAAGAATGCTGTAAAATAAAAATATAACCAAAGCCTAATCCAATAGAATCCAATTAAATTTTAAAACCAATGTCTTAAAAATAAGTTAGATTTTATGCCTCATAGCCATTTCCAAAACAAGAGGAAATTACATCTATAAAAACCTTACATTCATATAAGCAATGGTTTATAGATAAAGAAAGGTTTCCTATTCTAATGAGTTTAAGAAATGCTGGGTGTAAATAAAAGTTAGCACCCACTGTAGTATTTCTTAAAAGTAGGGAAAAAAAAAAAAACACTCAGACACAGTCATAAAAGTGATCACAAATCCTCATCTCCCTTGTTACCACTTTACTTATTTTCTTGGAGCATTTTAAGAACTAGTATTTCTGAAAAACTCCAGCCTAAATCCAAATAAGGAGAATTTCAATATGTGGAGTGTTTTCCTTTGAGCCTTTAAAGGGACTGTAGAAACTAAATAGGCAGTATGAAAAAACTAATCAATTTAACAATGTATTATTATTATGTCTATTTCTCTACTCATTATTGCCCCTTGTTGAATATTACAATGGATCCAAAAGGAAAAAAAAGAGAAATATATGCACAGAATGAGTTGGTTTTTAATTATACTGGTCAGTTTTGAGAGTTTTGGATGGTCTTGACAGTATACCCAGTAGTGATGGTGTTTTAATTTATTGTTTTTCCTTGAGGAATTCACCCTGATGACTCAAAAAAAAAAAAAAATCCTCCTAGGACAGACAGTCAGCAGTCATTTCAACTTATACCTTAACAGCATTTCATAAACCTCCATACTCCAAACCATTTGGGAGAGAATGACTCCATATAAAAGCAAGGCAATGTGGTATTTCTCTGCATAATTAGTATCTTTATTCAGTTTAGGAAAAAATTAGATTTGAGATTTTAATGTCAAAAAACATTAGATTTAATTATATCCAATATTTCTAATTAATTAAATTATCTGACTGAATGTGTCAACTTGTGTATATGTTCTTAGCTACAGAAAAGGAATAAAAATAATTTAAAGCCTTGTTGACCACCTATTATTCACCCATAACTGGAGCATCACTCACTCCCTTCTTTCACTTTTCTCTGGTCAGTAGTCATTAGTATAAAAAACCTTTTATGACTTACTTTTCATTTAAAGTATATATATATAGTCCAAGAAAATTGGGTGGTAGATGTAAAGAAGATGAGCTTAGGAAATAAACAAGCCCTATTTAAATTTATCTCTAACTAAATTATAATCTTACCTCTGTTGAGCATTGGTTTCTTTATTTATAAAATGAAGATAAATTAAAACAACTAAGGTCTTTGTGGCTGAAAGTAATAGAATACTATTAGCTAATGATGCAAAGATTAAGGAATTTATTTCCTCACACAACAAGACATTGGAAGGAGAAGTGGTTGAAGGTTAGTAAAATCAGGAATTCATTAATATCAAGGGACACCCAGGTGCTTTCAATTCTTTTGGTCCCCTTAGGGGACCAAATGACTGTGCAGCCAAGTTGGCACCTCTCTATGAACCAAGATCCACTGTGGCACCAGAAAAAGACCCTGTCTGTGGCCCTTTCTAAGAGTGAAAAAAATGTCTCTAGAGGTTTCCCAACACCTCTCCTCCACCCCCACCGATATTCTTCTTACATATATCCCAGGGGTTCACCACACATTAATGCCCACATTCATCACCACAATGGATCATGAAACTGTCATAACTGCCTGAGAAGATCCTAGATTTTCTCTAGGGCTAGGGAGGGGACCCTGAAGCATTTCAGAGCTTAAATACAATATTCCATTGGCAAGGAGAAAGAGAAAGAAAGCATGACCAGAAATGCACAATTGGGATTAGAGTTTAAACTCCCTACTAAGTGAGAACCTTCTTTATACTTGCTTCCCTTCCTAGATTATAAGGTCAGGAATATGGCTCATTTTTGTTTCCCCAGTAACAAGTAGTTTGCCTCCTAGAGAGATGTGTTTGTTAATATGTACCAACTCTGATGGAGGTGCTCCTATAATTAGAAAGGTATATGCTTAATGTTTTTCCCAAGAGTAGGAATGACTTCAGAATCTTCCACACCTTCTCAGCTAAACCATCTCATGGCAGTTCGATCTATGTTCAAGAAATCTTCATGGTTTTACCAGGGCAGCAACAGATACTATGGAAAAGACAGGTGAGATCAGACTGATGTCTCTAGAGATGATCAAGGCAAACAACACATTCTCTGTGTTTTGGACTGTTTCCAAACAGCAGGGTGTAGCTATGGGATTATATGCCCCAAATGACTGTCACAAAATTGAAAACAAGGAGAAATAGTCCCCATATCCATTTATTGAAAGAGACAATGTTTATCAAAGAAAGCCACTGAGTTAACTAATGTGTCATATTCTGGAATCTTCTTATCCTGGAGGTCGTCCAAGGGAAGATAGCAAATAATGATAAACATAACACTAGGCAATTATTCATCAGCCTTTACAAGATGAAAAATTTCTCAGAAGCCTGTGTTAATAAAGAAATTGTTATTTTCAATTTTCTGGTCTTTTCTCACCTTGGTTGCCTTGGGTAAACTGAAACAAAACTCTAGTAAATGTAACCAGCCACCAAAAATGAATGCAGTCAAGTGAGAAGTTGCAGAACTGTGACTTCAGGCACTGTTATGAATTAATCTGAGACGGAGCTTCAGCTCCAGGCTCAATCATCAGTTTGGAATGTATTCCAGAGGGTGTTCATGACCAGGCAGAGAACACCAAAGGTTGGATGACTCATGACATATCACCAGTCCCACCCCCCGGGCAATCCCTGGCCCCAGAAGCTATAGCTATTGGATCAAATCAAATGGAAATATAATGGGAGGATGAGATATAATAAAGAGAAGTTAAGAATTTTAGGGAAGAAAAATATACCAACTTTAAGACTTTAAGAAGAAATGGAGAATAATGGAGATTGTTAATATATGTGTTTGAAAAAAATCTCCATAAATGAAGTAATACATATGGGGAATCTAATACGTGTTCCAAGGAATGAGACAATTGTGTATAGATATGGATTCTTAAAATGTGATTTCTTTTGAGAGAGTTCCATTTTTCATTAAAGTTATTTAATTTGAGAATGAGCAACAAACTTCTTAGAGGTATTCTGATAGTTTTAGGTATTAGACAGTAAACACACACACACACACACACACACTAGTTTTTTTATTTTTCAGACTTTTTTTGGCATCTCTCAAACCCAACCCTATGCCTTTCAAAACATTATTCAATACTCAAAAAGTAAATGAAATTCCTTCTGTTCGTTGAATGACAAAAAAATTTGGCAAGAAAATCCAATGAAATGTTTCTAGAAACTTTTGTATCTTTTATGACAGAACACTGCAATACTGATTAGGTATGGTCTACATAAAAATAATAACTGTTTTTAAAAGAAATAAGAAACCAGTTTATTCTGAGCCAAATATGAGTAACCATGGCCCAGGAACATAGAGGCATACAACTAACCTTTAGTTACATGCTCCTCTATGGAAGAGGTTATATGGATTTTTGTAACCATGGAACAAACAGAAGTCACAAATGAATACATTTACCAATTACATCTGGTAGGTAGGCTACAGCAAAGGAAGAAATCTCTTCTATAGGTTTCAGATCTTACCTTACAGCATTCTTACCTTTAGGGTTCATAGAGGCTAGAGGTCTGCTAAACTTTGTAACACAGTCTCAGGAGTTTATCTGTGAGCTATGAATTTGTTAGGTCAGATACAAAAGTTAAGGTAATTGAAGCTGATCTCAGCACATGTCCAGAGGTTAAGTTAGTTGGTTACTAAATGCCAAAGATAACCCAAGATAATTTTTAGAACCCCACTTTCCAGCTCTCCACAATCATGGTGTCCTACTGAGCCAAGGTCAGTCTGTGCAATCTTTATTATTGATACAATTTCTTCAGAGCACTTCTGATCACAGTATTTATTTTACTACACTATTAACTTTGATCTAGCTTCTATGTCCATGATGACATCCCTACCAAAGTTAATAACACTTACCAAAGTACTAATGAAAGAGATTCAGCAATTACACAATGTTGGATGCACTCAGTAATATGCTTTAAACAACTCTCTGGAAAATACACACCAACTCCACTCTATTCTTTAACACCAATGCAATTTTTTTGCTGGAGCAAACATTTTTAATGAGTTAGCCTGTTAATTATCTAAATTCTTCACCTTCTTTAGTTAAGATAGTTCTACCCGAAGTTTAGGAAAAACATAAATGTTTTTTCACTCTTCATCCCCACTGTCCCTTTGCCCTTTATGAAGCAAAGATGTTTGTAAATTTTTGTATTGACAATAAGCTTTGAGGCAATTATAAATGGCAAATTGATTATCTAACATCAGGAACTTTCCAGGTTGTTTTGTCAGCATTTCTGTTTTTGCAAATACATTTTGTTTAAAATGCCCTATTTTTTTTTCAGTAAAGTTGTTATGCAAACCTAATTAAAAGACTTTCACTGCATTTACCAGTACTTTAAAGAACTCAAGAATATCATTCTTTTGTTATGCTGATGGTTGAGTATTGTGACATGCATATAAAATAAAATTAAATCAGAGGCTTAATCCTGTTTTCATTCTCCTATGTGTCTCTACAGGAAGATCTTGTCCATTTCAAAGTCATCTTGACAATTTTCATCAATATGCCTTTTCTAAATGGCTATTTAAAAACAATGGAGGCCAGTGGAGTATAAATCAAAGAAAGTCTTTAACAAAGAAAGCCAAATGTCTATGTTTGATAATGACCTTGCCCCAAAAGTTACTTATTAGTCTTTCTAAAATAATTTATCTAGAAATTAGTGACTTCCATTAACTTCTTAAGTTGTCTTGGCAACCTTGAGGAATGGCAAGTGACCATAAATGGAAGGATTATTTCCAGATTTCTGGATTCATTGCTAATGCATTAGTCTATATGTCTTATCCTTAAAAAGTACCATACTGCCTTAATTATTATAACTTCACAGTAAGTTCCAAAATTGGGAAGTGTGATTCTTCCAACTTGATTCATATTTTTCAACATTATTTTGGCTAAGTAAGGTTCCTTATATTTGCAAATGAAATTTTAGATAAGAATGTCAATTTTTGTAAAAACAAGCCAGAGGAGATTTTGATAAGAATTGAATCTGCAGATCAATTTGGGGAACAGTGCCACCTTAACTATACCACATTATTTGTTCCATGAGTAGAATCCTGCATTTTCCATTTCCTCACTTGAGAAATGGGCAACTGAACTGCTCTGTGTCATTTTCATTATAAATAGTTATTTTTTGGTTTTTGGGGTTTTTTTTTTTTTTTTTTTTTGGTACTGGGGCTTGAACTCAGGGCCTTCACCTTGAGCCACTCTACCAGCCCTATTTTTGTGATGGTTTTTTCAAGATAAGGTCTCGCAGAACTATTTGTCCTGGCTGGCTTTGAACTGCAATCCTCCTGATCTCTGCCTCCTGAGTAGCTAGGATTACAGGCGTGAGCCACTGGCACCTGGCTTTTTGTTTTTTTGTAAATAGTTATACCAGAGAGTTGTGTTTGTTTGCTCGTTTATTTTGTTGTTATTGTTTCTGAGACAGTGTCTTGCTGTGTAGCTCATGCTGGTCTTGATCTAGCAATCCTCTTGCCTTGACTTCCTCAGTGCTGGGATTATAGGGCTGACTGGAAAGAAGTTGTATTTGAAGGTTAAATATTTAACACATGCATGTAAAGTCCAAAGACCTATAATTGACACATGGCAAGCAGTTAACAAACTTGTCATCATTATTGTTGCAATTCCTTCCTCCTTCTCTCCTGCCTTCTCCAGCCCATAATTCCATGTGGACTTGTACCACAATCTTTTGAGGTAGAAGAAAAGCTGAGAATAACTGCTGCACCTCTTAAAAGCTTTGTTTTCCCATTGCTCAAGAGCCTTTTTAGGAAGCCAGCATTCACTATCTTGCTTGATTCATGGGATTCTTGGGTTTGTTTTTCTGGTATTTTATAGCTGGCCAGCTGGCTGGAAACTCCTCTGTTGAGATGTATCGCCAAGTGCTTCTGTCTGGTTGTCGCTGTGTGGAACTGGACTGCTGGAAGGGAAGGACTGCAGAAGAAGAACCTGTCATCACCCATGGATTCACCATGACAACCGAAATATCCTTCAAGGTAGAATGAATGAATGTTACCAAGAGAGGCAGCTGGGGATACCTGACCCCTTTTGGCTAAAACCTCCTGAAATAGAAAGTCCCAGTAGTCATAATCAGGTCCACAAGCTATTAATCATCTGCAATTTCACAGGCTAAAATTTAACACTTTACCCATGAGTTATTAGCATCAGGTGAATTGCTGCATGCTAACCAAATTCTAAGGAAATGACAGGAAATGCACAATGATTTATTTGTTTTCTCATATTTAGCACTTTTATTATTTTTTTTACATTTTGTTATTGTGAAATATGAATAACAAAGAATATGTACAACTTATTTGTACAGTTTAACTAATGAATATATAGTGTATACTCATGTAACTACAACCTAATTCAAGAAATAAAAGCTTACCGGCACCCCCCAAAACACCCTCATGTACCCATCCCCTTTACAGTGACCTCACTATTCCCAGAGGTGATTACTCTCTTGAGTATTATAGTAATCACTACTTTGTACAATTTAAAGCTATCTAAGTGCAGCTTAAGTGGTACAGCTCCACTCCATTTTTAAACTACGCATACATTGATTAATACGCATTATTTTTTGTCTTGCTATTTTTGCTCCTCATTGTTTAGATGATTTGCTGATATTGTTACATGTGTTTCTAGCTTGTTTGATTTGTTAATCATGATAATATTAATTACTACTATATTTGCTTAGACTTTACTAGTTGAGCATCTATAACCCCAAAAATCTGAAACCCCAAATCAGAAATTTTTTTCACATCACCTCGGTGATCAAAGAGTTTCAGGGTTGGGGATGTAGTTCAAGTGATGAAGCACCTGCCTGGCAAGTGCAAGGCCTTGAGTTCAAACCCCGGTACTGATCAAAAGAAAGTTTCTGATTTTAGAGCATTTGAGATTTCGGATTTTCAGATCCAGAATGATAGACCAGTATAAAATTTCATTCTGCAGTGCTAAGTTTTGGGGTGTTGGTGCCTGTCAGAGATCTAGAGAAGCACGCATATAGTCAAAGCTGAGTTTATTTGCTCATGAGTAGAGAGAGAACATGGGAGAAACTGTGGCAGCTCAGTAAATGCTCCTTAAGGAGAACTGACAGGATTGGGGCTTACATAAATGATCTGGAAGAGGATTAAGTGAAGCAGGGTTGTGCTATGGATTGGGTGCTATGGGTAAGCAGAAATAATCCTATGATTGGTATCTTCATAAATCCTGTCTAGGAGGCAGGACTAAAAGCTGTTAATGATAAAGAAGCATCAGCCATTCTTACTAAGCAGGAATGAATGTGTTTGGTCTCCCTTCTTATTCCACCCTTGTCTCCATCCTGTACCATAAAAGACCACACTGTTATGTATATAGACATCCAAGATCAGATATCAAGTTCTGTTCATATCCCCTGCAAAAAGCCACCCCAAAGGGCTTAGGACTATTTGAGTGAGGAAATCAGAGATCCTAGGTACCCAGATAGGAATCTGGAAGGGGGTTGTAGGCCTCAGGGAACATGTTCTCTTAGCTGACTCAGTTTTCTCACCACTTTGGAAATCAGAAGAGAAGGGCCAGAGAACAAGTTGTAAGTCCCCAGGCATGAACCCCATTACATGGATGACCTGGGTATCAGGACAGAAATGACTAGTTAAATCTTGCTGTTAGCAATCAAAGAAATAGTATGTGGATACCTGAGGTGAATGGAGACAAGCCATTGAAAATACAAAAGTGTTGTAAAGTTGATACAGGAAAGAGTAGGAAATACTCTGGAGTTAGTAGGTATAGGTAAGAACTTTCTCAACGAAACCCCAGCAGCACAGCAACTAAGAGATACCATAGATAAATGGGACCTCATAAAGCTAAAAAGCTTCTGTTCATCAAAAGAAATGGTCTCTAAACTGAAGAGAACACCCACAGAGTGGGAGAAAATATTTGCCAACTATACATCAGACAAAGGACTGATAACCAGAATATATAGGGAACTTAAAAAACTAAATTCCCCAAAACTAATGAAGCAATAAAGAAATGGGCATGTGAACTAAACAGAACTTTCTCAAAAGAAGAAATTCAAATGGCCAAAAAACACATGAAAAAATGCTCACCATCTCTAGCAATAAAGGAAATGCAAATTAAAACCACACTAAGATTCCACCTCACCCCTGTTAGAATAGCCATCATCAGCAACACCACCAACAACAGGTGTTGGCGAGGATGTGGGGAAAAAGGAACCCTCTTACACTGTTGGTGGGAATGTAAACTAGTACAACCACTCTGGAAAAAAATTTGGACGCTACTTAAAAAGCCGGACATCGATCTACCATTTGATCCAGCAATACCACTCTTGAGGATATACCCAAAAGACTGTGACACAGGTTACTCCAGAGGCACCTGCACACCCATGTTTATTGCGGCACTACTCACAATAGCCAAGTTATGGAATCAGCCAAGATGCCCCACCACTGACGAATGGATTAAGAAAATGTGGTATCTATACACAATGGAATTTTATGCAGCCATGAAGAAGAACAAAATGTTATCATTCGCTGGTAAATGGATGGAATTGGAGAACATCATTCTGAGTGAGGTTAGCCTGGCCCAAAAGACCAAAAATCATATGTTCTCCCTCATATGTGGACATTAGATCAAGGGCAAACACAACAATAGGATTGGACTTTGAGCACATGATAAAAGCGAGAGCACACAAGGGAGGGGTGAGGATAGGTAAGACACTTAAAAAATTAGCTAGCATTTGTTGCCCTTAATGCAGAGAAACTAAAGCAGATACCTTAAAAGCAACTGAGGCCAATAGGAAAAGAGGAACAGGTACTAGAGAAAAGGTTAGATCAAAAAGAATTAACCTAGAAGGTAACACCCACGCACAGGAAATCAATGTGAGTCAATGCCCTGTATAGCTATCCTTATCTCAACCAGCAAAAACCCTTGTTCCTTCCTGTTATTGCTTATACTCTTCTCTACAACAAAATTAGAAATAAGGGCAAAATAGTTTCTGCTGGGTATTGAGGGGGTGGGAGGGAGAGAGAGGGGGCGGAGTGGGTGGTAAGGGAGGGGGTGGGGGCAGGGGGGAGAAATGACCCAAGCCTTGTATGCACATATGGATAATAATAAAAAAAAAAGAAAATACAAAAGTGAAAATACTGAGAGGCCAGAATATTGAGTGAATTGGATGTTACCATCACCAGGATTGGTAACAAACCTTGGATGAAGAAGACAGCAAACTCCTTGCCTAGTCTTCACTGAATGAGATGAGGCTCAGCAGGTAGCAGATACAAGGAAGGCTAAACCTGGTTTGGTTGCTTCAGGAGAACTGGGTATTATTATTACTATTATTATTATTATTATCATCATTGTTTTATATTAAAGAAGATTGAGAAGTAAGCTTCAGAATAGTTTTGGGGAAAATGATCCCAAATCCTAGTTTTTAAACCTGGGTTATTGAAATCTGAGAAAATAATCAACTGTCATTGAAGAGACTAGCAAAAGAGAAACAAGAATATCAAGGAACAAGCAAGTTTGCTTAGACATTAGTAAATATGTACAAGATTGTGTCCAGGGAATTTGACTTTTCATGAGTTGTTGAACATAGGCAACAATACAGTAATTAGAGAAAGTGGGAGCACATTTCACTAAAGTTTACAACAAAATTTGTGAGGTTGACCTTGATTTTGAACAAAATTTTAAAAAGCTGTACCTGCTCCTGAAATTGACCATTCTGAAAGTCTGTGGATATTTTCTTTTCTTTTCTCACTGTCCTCCACCCCCGCCCCCAGACAGTCTCAATATGTAGCCCAGACAGTGGCCTTGCACTCAAGATCCTTCTGCCTCAGCTTCCTGAGTACTGGGATTACAGGCCTGAGCTACTACAACTGGCTTTACAGATTTTCTTAAATGGAAAAGTCAAAGGGTTTTTCTTTCATTCCCATAGTCCCCCTCCCTCTACCATTGTCCTTTGTTAGTTGCCTAAAACACCAGCCTCACCTGGTTGGTCTCTGTAAGATAAAGTGGGGCAGAAGAGGTGAGAGTAGAGGGTGAGCAGTGCAATTTGGGCTCCCCTGGCCATCCATGGTGAGATGATCCTGGAAACGCACACAACACATCCTGATGGATCTGTGACACAGATGGCATTGTACATGAGCAATGCTAGGAAGACCCACCTACCTCCCTGCCCACTGACCTCAGTCCACCCATCAAATCTTTGTTAAAAAATTATCTTTTCTTATGAAATTAAAGTCTTCAATGGTCTTTAAATTCCTAGGGTATGAATAAATACCAGGCACATTCTAAGACATATTTATTTTATGTGGAGCATTTGCTTCATGGTCTTTGCTATCAAGTTTGCTTGGTGTGACTCTTCTTATGTACTTGATGTACAAGTGGTTCTTCAATTACATCTGTGATCCCGAAGTCATGCGCTTATTGGATGTCCCTCTGGAAGCCCAGCTTCTCAACCACATCCACACACTGGCTGACAGGCTTACAGGCTTAAAACTAAATCCGGCCCAGAGTGCTTCTTCTCTCTTTCTGCTGCAGTTGAGTGTGGGGAGGTGATCAGGATGGCCAAAGAGAAGAGCCAAATCCTCACTCCAGTGCTTGATTTGCCCAGCTGTGCTGCCTGTTCATGTGCCTTGGCAGAATAGACAGTTCTAGCAGAGATGAGGGTGGGGAGTAGAAACACTTTATTTATCTGTGGATAAATATAGTAGTGGAGTTTCTCTGCATTAGGACCAAGACTTAGGACAAGACAAGTAAGGCACTAAGAGTGCAGGGTCTTATCAGTGCAGAGCAAGTACCTGGAGTGAATGTCTCTTTAAATTTGGCTCTGTATGCCTCTCTTTCCTCACCCTACTCCCAGCCCTGCTCTGCCTGTTTGTTGGCATATGGTTTGCTTTTCCAGAATCCACTGTGAAAGGTGACTTCGTGAAAAAAAAAAGTATAGGAAGAGAAAGAAGGGACAAAGCCCTACATGATCTTAACATCACCCGCACCCCTCAAGTAT